ATTCAGGACTACCACTATATCAGGGTTTTGAGGGATCTAATACCTTGCACAGCGCTCTCAGTAAAATGCATGAAGCTTAGGGACCCTTCAATCACTGGGTACACTCAGACGTAGACCAAGTTGCATTCATTACCTGCAATGGAATCTTTTTTTAGGTGTTCCTGGCTGTGGTGTTGGGAAGGGGATCCCAGATCACAAGACTGAAAAACATTACACATCCTATGGCAGGCAAAACAGTTTACATATATGTATTTTAACTGTATATCTAGCAATCTGCTTGAACTTTAACCACAGAAGACGTTATTGCTGTAATTGGCTGGTGCACCAAAAACAGGTATTTTGATTTCTGAGAGTTAACTCACCTAGTCCTTTCTAACAGTAATTCTGTCACAAACCTGGCTAAGCTTGAAAACACGTGAACAGAGGCTACCACCTGTGAAATGTTTATGTTAAAGTGATCAGCAGATCCAAGGATAGAAAGATAGAAATAGTTATATGTTGACTTTACCTGTGATAGGGGAGCTTGGCCTTCCCTTCCCCATGCTTTCTGTTGGTCATTGAGGCTACCCTTTACAAAGAAAGGGTAATGACAATGGCTTGAGGAACAATCATTTACTTTTTTTAAAAAGTCAGTTTTTGAACATAGCTTGAGCTGCTGAATGTCTGGTTCTTGGTTTGACATACTGCCCATTGTCTTATCCTTCATACTCACTATTGTGTCCTCCCCAGCCCTCTCCTGCACATATACCCGCTAATATACTCTTCTGCATGTACTACATGCTGTCATACCCTCTTCTCTCCTCTCTTGCATATCCTATAAACACTTACACAGTCCAGCACTTCCCTCTGAAATGGGACAGTCCTCTGTCAGTGTCCGCTGTCATATCCTCTGCTTTCCTCCCCTACACAAAATGCCCACTGTTGTATTCTCTACAATCCTCTCAGCCCCCTCATGATAGTAGCTAAATAAAGGAAAAATATATATATAAAAAAAAAACATTATTAAAGTGGATCTTCACCCACTTTCCACAATATGAATCCCTTTATCACAATTGCCCCCTCCACCAAATTTTTTTTAAGTAACTTTGTTTTCCATTTTCTAAAGAATCTACTTCCCACTTCTGGATTTCTTGCCTAATTGACTCACACATTCCAGGAGGCTTTGGGCCAAATCTGTGAAAATGTGTATGTGGTGTGGTGTGGTGCAAAGCATCATCAGGAGACAGCAGTCTCTTCCTGGTTCTTGCAGCTGGCCCCATGATGATGATGTGCAGCGTGTGCACATCAATGGGGAGCAGCTGCAAGAACAAGAAAGAGACAGCCGTCTCCTAATGACGTCAGAAGAGCAGATGGTGGTGCAAGACCTGGTGAGCAGCAGCGGAGAAGAACAATGCTGGATCTGCTGGACATTTAAATTTATTGTGGATAAACCAACTAACAAGGTAATTAAAAATGAACAGGGGGGTGTAGTTCCTCATTAATTTTCACACAGTCTTAACTTTCATATTTAATCAGAAGTTTGGAGGGAATATCATGTTTGTGTGTATATATTTTTACTGAAAACATCTCTGCAAGGTTTTCATTTTTCTTAATTTTTTTTCTGACCACTAACCTACTTTTTAATCCCATCTGGCAGAAACAAATATCTAAGGATAAACACAAGAGGTGCTCATTTTGACACTGCAAGATGCAGTCAGGATAGTTTGAACTGCTATAAAGAGGATTACTAATATTAGACAATTTTTTCGGCAGCTCCTTACTATAAACATGTGATACACATAAAACAAGCACTATCAAAAGAGGTATATATGAATAATTACAGTAGATCTATTGGTGCTGTAGCATTTTTGCGATGGATTTATTCTTTTATGCTACGTGCACTGCTCACCAGAACAACTTGCACAAAACAGGTGTTTGAAAAGATGCTTGGAATGCATACCGGATGCCCCACTAGAAACTGTGCCAATTGCCTGGATCCCGGTCATCGCTTAGTCATACAGATCAGACAGTGGCTAAGTGGTTAGCACTTCCGCAGCAGCACTAAGATCATCAGTTTGAATCTCAACCAGAGCACTACCTTCCTGGAGTTTGCATGTTTCTCCTGTGCCTGCGTGGGTTTCCTCCCACACTCCAAAGACATGCTGGTAGGTTCACTGGCTCCTATCTAAAACTGGCCCTAGTATGTGTATGAATGAAATGTAAATTAGGGACCTTTGATGTGAATGTAAGGCAGGGAGTGATGTGAATGTGCAGTATGTGTGTAAATAGCTGCAGTAAATTGACAGTGCTATATAAGTACCTGAAATAAATCCATTTACGTTCTAATTCCGTAAAATCACTTAAATCCATTTTTTTTAAATGATTGAACAAATACTTCCAAAACTGCATGCTTGAATCAGCTGGGCACATTCATCCCAAAGGAATCTCTCCAAGTATGACTAATAGTCTATACTGTACACAAAAAAAAAAAACCTTTACACGCAAAAAAAAAAAAAAAAACAAAACAAAACAAAATTATCAAATGAAAAAAAATACAGTACTGAAAGCTTGTAGGGACTGCACTTTTCTAACTAGTGTGAAATTATAAAAAAAGCTTGTCGTCTTTAAACTTTGCAATTGCTAACACAGAAAACACTAAACAAAATTTAAAATTACTACAAAGGAAAATAAACGTTTGGAAAGAAATATACCAAACACAGGAGAACACTACTATACACAATGAGTGGGCAGTTAAGCATAGAAAAAGATCGACATTAGTCTTTCACAACCTTTTTAACACAGAGGAACCCTTGAAACAACTTTCTTGTCTCATTGAGCCCATGCTAATAATGACCATATCTACAGCTCACAGTACAATAATGTGATGGTTGTTGGGAAGAATGCTCCATATGTCTGTGGGGAGTAGGATGAATCCCCCCTTAGTCGCCTTCACACCAGAATGTTTTGTAGATCAAAGCTACAAAATTCCCATGCTTTTAAATGGTGTCTGCAGCTCAACACCTGAAGCTCAGAAATGTATGCGAGTTACTTCTGAAGAAAAATTAGGGTTAATTTTTTACTTCAGTGAAAGCGTGCGAAAATACGCGTTACGTGCGGTTTCCAGGTACACCCCTAATAAAAGCCTGTGGAGCCAAAAATGCCCAATCATGCCCCTAAAGAAGCTCCTAAAATGCATGAAAAAGCCTAAAAAAATCTAATGTACGTTACACTCAGAGGCTTACAGATATCTAAAAATTTTGTTGGAGTCAGTGGTTACACTGGAGAAGCAGCAATCGCTCAATGAAGGAGTGGCCCCCAGCTCCAAAGGGCTACAAATGTTGTTCAGTATACAGCAGAAGACTGTTAGAGACTGCAGACACACCCGGAGGCTGCAGACACACCGCAGAAGACGGCCGCAGACACACCATAAGAGACGATCGGAGCCTGCGGACATACCGCAGGAGACGATCGGAGCCTGCGGACATACAGCAGGAGACGATCGGAGCCTGGGGACATACAGCAGGAGACGATCGGAGCCTGCGGACATACAGCAGGAGACGATCGGAGCCTGCGGACATACAGCAGGAGACGATCGGAGCCTGCGGACATACAGCAGGAGACGATCGGAGCCTGCGGACATACAGCAGGAGACGATCGGAGCCTGCGGACATACAGCAGGAGACGATCAGAGTCGGCGGACACAGTACAGGAGACGATCAGAGTCGGCGGACACAGTACAGGAGACGATCAGAGTCGGCGGACACAGTACAGGAGACGATCAGAGTCGGCGGACACAGTACAGGAGACGATCAGAGACGGCGGACACAGTACAGGAGACGATCAGAGACGGCGGACACAGTACAGGAGACGATCAGAGACGGCGGACACAGTACAGGAGACGATCAGAGACGGCGGACACAGTACAGGAGACGATCAGAGACGGCGGACACAGTACAGGAGACGATCAGAGACGGCGGACACAGTACAGGAGACGATCAGAGACGGCGGACACAGTACAGGAGACGATCAGAGACGGCGGACACAGTACAGGACACGATCAGAGACTGCGGACACGGTACAGGAGATGATCAGAGTCGGCAGACATACCGCAGGAGATGATCAGAGAATGCAGACATACGGCAGGAGAGTATCAGACTGCAGACATACCACAGGAGACGATCAGAGACTGCAGACATACCACAGGAGAGGATCAGACTGCAGACATGCAACATAGGTGCTTGGAGAGTGAATAGACACTACAGGATATACATAGAGAGGATATGCTCCATGAGACTGCAAGAGTTCACCGTCATTAACACCTCTTTACAAATGATTGCTTCCCCTACTAGCTGCTGGGTCCTGCAAGGGGCCACACAGCAAGTACCAAAGGGTGCATGTGGCCCTCAGGTCGCAGGTTGGGCACCAGGGCCCTGCAACCTCTGGAGGAACCCTGATTTACATCATCTCAATATCACGAATCACTTATTAGGGTTGGATTCAGGAAAGCCCACTTAATAACTCCTATTGTACCTCTTCAGACTGGGAAAAGAAGGCACATTTCCTTAGAAAGTAACTTGTCATGTAGAGAACGATCACAGCACATCCTATCCGATTTCTGGGTACGCCTAGAGCAGCTTTGCACAGCAACCAACCAGCTTCTAGCTTTCATTTTCAAGGCTTAACTGAAGGAGCTGAAGGTAGACGCTGATTGGTTACTGCGCACAGCTGCTCCGATTCTGATCTCTGGAAATACACACGATGAGACGGAGATAAACTTCACCAACCTCCTCTGAACTGCAGCCAAGGGGAGCAGACAGGCAGGCTGTCCGGAGATCAGCGAGATGAATAATGAAGACAGGGGGAGCAGCGCCGTCCAAGTGTCAGCTCACCTGCCACGCTCTGGACTCCTCTATACAACCCCCACCTCGTCCTCTCTAGACTCCTATGGACACTCCGTCCACCTTGTCCTTGAAGCTGCCCGGCACACACACTCAGCCCCCTCCATTGCCCTCGGCTCTTACTCTGAAGAATCCCGGTCACTGCTTGTCCAGTGACCGCTCCTTTCCTCCGCCGTGCTCCGGCTGTTTGCTCCGTGCCCGGCCGCCTCAGTCCTCCGTCAGGTAGGTGTCCCCAGCGCTGAGCCCCGGGGCGCCACTGGCAGCACACATCAGTCTGGCGCGCTCTAGGTGGGCCAGGTGCCAGAGAAGGTAACCACCGAGGAAAGCTGGGAAGGATGGCAGCAGCAGTAGGCTGGCCACTGCGCACGCGCGAGAGTTCACGGGGTAGGGGCGGGGAGTGTCACTACAATTAGTTCGTGTGACGAGCCCGGTCATCTGCTCTTCCTCGCCGTCATGTCGTCTGTCAGAGCCCCGGGGAGAAGTCAGAGGAATAAAGGGTGTGTTTAGTATCGGGGTGTCGAGGAGGGACGTGACCGGGTTGCAGAATGTAGAGGTCTGCCTGGCAGTGCAGAGCTGTATAAAGTGGGACTGCGGATGGTACACAACATGTATGACGGGTTTACCGGTACATGGCTGTTGTTGGCTCCGAGGGGGTTCTCATTGATGTCGGTTATAGTGTGTCTCCGAGTACCTGGATGGAGAGCATTAGCTGTGACTGGAGCAGCTGTGCACCACAACCCTTCCACTTCCAGCTGTTCTTTTCAAAGCTTAAAGCAGAACTCCATGCTAATTTTTTTTATCTGTGCCCACACTGCATGGGAAAACTGCTCCTTTTGTCCTGGGGTTCAGGGAAGAGTCATACTTACCCTGTCCTCTGATCCTCTGGAAAACCACGCTCCCCCATGTCCAGCGGTGGACTGTTCCTTCCATCCTCACACAGGAGCCGGTCTATGGGTGTGATGACATCTGGAACAGTCCATTCACAAGACTGCTAGCGTGCTGGGGGCAAAAGCGCCAGGGAGCTGTCTTGCGCTCTGAGAATCGGCGGATTCGGTAAGTATGTCTTCACTGTTAAAAACAGAAAAAGCTCTATCTCCAATAAATGTGCCCTCACAAACTCGATGTAGATGAATAAAAAAATATGCAAACGTAAAATATATACCGTAATCTCCAAATAATACAGAACACATGCATACACATTATATATATAATCAACTTCTCGTGACTGGACCAAATAAATCGGTGAATAAAACTGATTCATATAATTACATAACATAAATAAGTGAAGTGTCCATTGAATAAATGATCAGCGCAGTGATATTCTGCTAGAGAACTGCTTTTCCATATGCCCACAAAACACATGCATTACAGGTGATCTATTAATCCTTCACCACGTACACTCAACTTACCAGATGCCCATCATAACCAACCTGTTCAATATCCACATATCATCATATTGAAGGGGAATGGAAAAAATCTGGAAACTCTTGTCAATATAGAGAGGGGTATCAACCACATACATGCTCAAAAAGGAATAGAAAAGATCACTCCCATAGTGTGAAAGGTCTGCCCTCCAGAGGATTTACCCCCCTTCCTGACTAGGCCATTTTTTGGGAAACGGTGCTGCGTTATTTTAACTGAACTGCGCGGTCATGCAACACTGCACCCAAATTAAATGTATGTCCTTTTTTCCCCACAAAGAGAGCTTTCTTTTGCTGGTACTTGATCACCTGTGTTTTTTTATTTTGTGTGCTATAAAGAAAAAAGACTGACAATTTAAAAAAAAAATATATATTTTTGACTTTTTACTATAAAACATGTCCGGTAAAAAAAAAAAAACAAATTTCATCATAAATTTAGGCCAAAATGTATTCTGCTACATGTCTTTGCTAAAAATACGTGTACATTAATTGGTTTATGTGAAAGTTCTCTCATCTACAAAATGGAGGTATATATGTTGGAATTGTTATTTTTATAAGCGATTTAGAGCGGGACTGCGGCGGGCATTTTGGTGATAAAAAGAAAATGCAGCGCTATAATGAATGACATATAAAAGAAATTGCAGCACTATAATATAAACATACAAATGGTGACTTAGGTGAGCAAATAATATATATTATATATGAGTCAAGTGCAGCACTATGGTGACATTATATAAATAGGTATTATAAATGAATAAAGTGCAGCGCTATATTGCAGCGCTATGGTGACATTATATAAATAGGTATTATAAATGAATAAAGTGCAGCGCTATATTGCAGCGCTATGGTGACATTATATAAATAGGTATCATAAATGAATAAAGTGCAGCGCTATGGTGACATTATATAAATAGGTATTATAAATGAATAAAGTGCAGCGCTATATTGCAGCGCTATGGTGACAATATATAAATAGGTATCATAAATGAATAAAGTGCAGCGCTATGGTGACAATATATAAATAGGTATTATAAATAAAGTGCAGCGCTATATTACAGCGCTATGGTGACAATATATCAATAGGTATTATAAATAAAGTGCAGCGCTATGGTGACAATATATAAATAGGTATTATAAATGAATAAAGTGCAGCGCTATGGTGACATTATATAAATAGGTATTATAAATTAATAAAGTGCAGCGCTATATTACAGCGCTATGGTGACAATATATAAATAGGTATTATAACTCCAGCAGGTCAGCCTTATCCACCGTCAGATATAACCAAAGGAAATGCACAGCTCTCATGCACCATAGAGAGGAGATTCCAACAGATTGCTCAATTCTCAGCAATAAAACTTGCCCCACCTTGAGCCCTGGTTCACAGTGATGCGGTGCGGAATTCACAGCGTTTTCCGCACCTCCTCACAATCGTACCCCGTTCATACGAACCGATGCGGGTGTGTATGTTAAGTTAACAACACCCCGACATCGGTCCGTAAAACACGGTGCGATGTGCAGAATCGGATCCCATAGGTGTGAATAGCTATGCGATCCTATTCTAGTGCGGACAAAAAAAGGGTCCTGTACGTTTTTGGTGCTGGTGCAGTGCGAAAAGAGCCATACAAAATGTATGGCTCTAATCATGCTGCATACAAATCACATGTGATTTGTACAGAAATGCTGTGTGGTTCCTGTGCGGATCACATGGGATTTACCGCACTGCTGTAGTGTGAACCTAGGCTCAAGGGAACAGCTGGTGGATGTTGTTGATCTTTGTGGATTTTGGGGAGACAGTATAGTATGGGTAGTTGGGGCGCAGATGGACATAAGTCTCTTTCTTTTCTATGAGTGAGATCTCATAGCTGGAGTTTCCAATTCCCCAACTGAGATTGCTGTAGCACAGATCTGATTCTTGTGTCTGTATTATCTGTAGGAGAAAAGAAAAAGGCATCACTAACTCCAGCACCATTCTGACACTGAGTGGGAACTGATTAACTGCAACTGACATCCAAATGACGCTAATACAGTGATCAATGCTAATAAAAAGCATTGACACTGTACTAATGACACTGGGTAGGAAGGGGTTAACATCTGGGGCGATCAAAGGGTTAACAGTGTGCTGTTTTAAAAACAATGACAAAAAGAAGAGAGTAGCGCTCTTCAAATTAATATATCTACAAACAGGTGAATTATGTGAATAAATAATATGCCAGATATTGTAGATAAATATGTCACATAAATCTATCAAAATTCAATAAAAATATAAATGTGAAAAAGTGTCCATAACTTAAATAAACAAAAAGTGCAAACATTTGTGTCCATAAAGCAATACTTCTTTAAACTTCTCCTCTAATGTGAATAAAAAAAAACGTGAAAAATCCACCACCACATGAATTGGATCCACTCACTCCACTCCATACTGGTAAGATTATAAACCAGCTATAACCGATCTTGCTCTGGGAGCGATGATCTGCAGCAGCAACCCCAATTGATGGAAATATCTTCAAATAACAATTAGCTCCTCATTAGTCGGAATGGGACATGACAGAAGAAAAAAGAGGAATCCACATAGTGTAAAACCATCCAGGCTTTATTCAACTCAAAAACTTGTTAAAACCACTCACATTAGTCAGTGTCAGAGACACTCGCATTACAAGCATAAGGCATCAATATATTAGGTATTGCTCCAGTCTATGCAGACAATGGCAGCTCACCCATACGTGGTGATGTCACCTCCAAGGCCCCACCCTACCGTTTCATCATCCGATGTCCTAAGGAGCGGAAGGATGTGCAACACCACTGGCTAACATTTTATACCCCCTGCATAATTACTCATGCAGCGCCTAAAAAAACAACTTGTGGACCACTAATAGCAATAACAGCTATCCACAACCTTACCAAACTATAATATCTCGATGTACTACATACTAACAAGCTAAAAATACTGCCCATATCAGTTATTAACTATAAAAGAAAAAATCTTATTTTTAAAGGGCCAGTACAGGTTAAAGGGCAACTCTAATCCCAGTGACATAGATAATAAAAATGGGGAACTAACATAAAACTGAAAATATGGTACAATACCTTACCTAGTGAAGCATATTAACAATTCGGTCCCATTATAAAAGTATGGAACATATATTAGGCTATAAATGATCAAGCAGAAATGCTATATTCTGCATCTCTAAAAACAGGGAGCGTAATAACTATACAACAATACTGGCCAATTATAGAAGACCAGTATCCATAAAATAACTATACTCCAAAAACATTTTACCAGATAACACGTAATTCTACATATAATCCTAACCGATCTAAAAAGACAGTATTCCTCTAAAGGGCAACTAAAAAAGGGCCTTCTGGCGTCTGGGCCTTAACACTGAGCGACCGCATATTTGCATGCAATTAAGAAAAACATATGTGCTGAGAGCGCGCGCCCTGCTCGCTCCCAGCACACATGTCCAGTACTTGCGGAAAGGTCCCGATCTCCTCTTTTGATTGGGGACCTTTTCCGATCATGTGACTGCAGTGGCTGCGTGTCACACACACAGCGGTCACATGGCCCTAAACCCCGCCCCTGCCTCCTTAAAGGGCTGGAAGGCGCCGGTGCCAAGGGGTTAATCAAAAAACTAGGATTATAACATATCTCGCGGATATCCATACATTAAACCTGGCCAATCTTGGAGGTATCCATGAAAAGGTAACTGTCCTCAAAGAGGATGTTCACAAAATATATAATGTGTAAAACGAGCCAATCTTAAAGGGCCAGTATCTATTTAAAGGACAACTCTGTACACAAATTAAAAATGAGTCAAAAACAATTCAGATAAATATCAATATTTAGCCCTTTAGGTTGTAACGTATCTAACAGATATATCCAATGGGTCTCTTTTAGAGACCTCATTTAACATATCTGTTCCTCTCCAGTGAT